TGTGTGTGTGCATGTGTGTGTGCGTGTGTGTGTGTGTGTGTGTGTGTGTATGTGTACTCAGGAGAAAAAGGAGCATTTGTATATAGGACAGCAAGGGTGCACAACTTTAAGTGTGTGTGTCAGACGGAGGAAGACAGCGAGCACATTTGAGCGCCGCAGACCCAAATCGCCTGGAGGAGAGTTATCTTAAAGTCCCCTCTCAGTCTGCCAGTAATTGTGCGAATGTTAGAGATACAGTGCTGCAGATGGTTCATGATATGACATATTAGAAGCAACCCGAGGGGCGAAATGCAGTAATTGGGCGCTTCAAAATTCAGATCTATCATGTCACGCTGCAGGATAGGAGGACATGGAACGCGCCCAATTCAAAAAATCATGTCTACACCGTCAACGGAACGAGCCACAGTGCAGCGTCAACACCCGGTGTCAGCCTCGGTGACAGGTCTGACTTCGCCTCCAGCCAGAACGGTGGTGGTGGTGGGGGCGTGAAGGCTGAGTGTGAGGGTGGGGGGTCTGATCAAAAGGACTGTGGCAGGTAGATGTTGTGAGGGTGATGCAGAGGAAAGCTTTTTGGCACGCCATTTTCACCCCGAGCGTCTTGGAGAAGACGAGCACTGAAATTATCATTAGTGCAGCAAGGAGTGTGTTCTTTTCCAGGCCACAATCACACATTCAAAACTTGTGAATGTCTTTTCATGCTTTAGAAACATTGTTGGAAAAAGTAGAACTTGTCTTTGCCGAAATGTTCATTTCAGTCCTCGTTAATTTAGTTTGCTGTCGGCCAACAAAGATTAGAGTTCGAAGTGAAGTCGTCAACAGAACCACGCAGGGTTTTAGGTAAAGTTATTGCATTCATTCAGTGATAAACTAGTTTGTTTGCAAAGTTATCAATGTCTACTTTTTTCCCATGCCTTAAGTTGTATTAAATGGATTAGATCATTTAGATCAGGGGTTCTTAACCTTTTTGACCTCGGGGCCCAATTTGTTGAACATAAAGTGACACGAGGCCCAGTCACACATTACCAATGTATGGATCAAAATGATAATTATTCTAAATCTTGGTTTAATTTTTATTGTATTTACATAATAACTAAACTACCATAACTAACTTAACTAAATTAAATACACTTACAGTTTAAAAGTCAAACTCCTGTCAAATAATCACAAGACATGATTATGACAAACATTTTTATATTGTAACCTGCCCATAACAATTATTTGAACAAATACAACGGTCAGTCAACGGACCACTCAGGCTTATCAGCACAAAAATATCTATTGTTTTTAATATAAACAATAACAAAAATAGACGATTCAAACAATAAAATTGTGAGTAAAAAAAATTAAAAATGTTTAATTAAAAAAACCCTGTAAAATAAATTTGATAAAGTACAAATA